TTATTTGAAATATTCATTATCATTATTTGGTCATCATTTGCTATTCCTGGTTGGACTATTATTGCTTCTTTTGCCATCTCGGCTGTTGTTCCTATATATATATCATCTTCAACGGGTTTTTTAATTTTGCAGTACCCTATAAACATTGGTGGTATTTCGGTATTTTCTTTTGAAAATATTTGGTATTTAACATTTTTCCCTTCTTTAATGGTTGGTATTATTATATGTCTCATTTCTATGGAATATTTTTCTTTTATTTCTTTATAAAAGTTGAGGTTATTTGGGTCGTTATCTGTCATTTCTGATATATTATCTGGTACCCCTATTCTTTCTTTTTTAGGTGATAGTTGTGGTGGTGTTCTATCTCCTATTGTCGAGGTTTCATATATTTCTTTTAATCCTTCTTCGATTTTTGTATTGTTTCTCCATGCTATTTCCGGGTTAGTAAATTTAAATACTCTTTTCCAATGATTTTCATCAAAATCTGTGTTTCTTGGTATAGGATAGTATACATCTTGACCTCTCCATGTTGATTTTAATGTTTTAGTATAGTTTGATTCATACGGAGTATAACTTGGAGTAGTATTGTTTGTTGATGATCCTGCTTCATTTTGGTCTTGTGGATCATAATGTATTCCTTGTTGTTGTTGGTATCTCATTGGTCGATTTAGTCCTTCATTTTCTATTTCTTGTTCCACCTCATCCATCTCTCTTTCATCTTCAGATGTTATTTCCTCTCTTTGTTGTTTTTCATAAAGTTCTCTTCGTACTTTATTTTGTTTTCTCCATTCTGTTAGTCTTGGGTTATCTGATGTTGGGTACGATATTTGTGAGTCATATGATCTAGTTCTTTTGTGTGTTGTTATTATTTCTTCTCTATGGTCTTGATCGCCATATAAACTTTCATGTTCTGATATATTTTCAGGATGGATTTCTTGCCTTAATGGTGATGATTTATTTGGTATTGATAATGTTGATTGTTGTGACCCTCTTCGTGAGAATAATCCTTTTATTGATGGAATATTTGGTAGTAGCCAATTATTTGGTGAGTTTGGTCTTGAGCGTTGTTCTTGTTGGTTTACCCATGATTCTGTTCTGTCTTCACTATATCTATCTTTTAAGATCCATTGGTCTTCATCATTTTCATCATTACTTTTAGTGGAGTCTGTTGGTGATATTGGTATTATTGGTGGTGGATTTCTTGGAAAGTCATCGTCTTCATGTGGTTTATAATATTCATGATATGGTTTCGATGGTGGGAATATTTCAGGTTTTGGTTTTTGTCTTTTTTCTTGCTGTTCTTTGAACATTTCATTTTCTATGTCTTCTGTATCATGCATTTGTCCTAGTGATTCTAATTCTACTCCCAATAGTTCTCGATATTTTTGTTGCATTTGTTCTCTTACCGCTGGCTCTTGGCAATATTCTATAGATTCTATTAATTTTTGCATTATTATTTGTCTTTCGAATTCTTGCATTTGATAGAATTCTTCTTTACTCATGTTTAAGGTTGGTGCTACCTCCATAGCATATGTTTCTTCTATTTCTTTTACTAAATCTCTGTTTTTCATAGGAATGCATTTTTTGATTGTGTTAACGCTTCTATCGTTTGGAATAAATATTCTTTTCGTGATTCTGCTTTTTCTGCCATATCTAATTTTTTTCTTGTTATATTTTCTATATCTCTGATGTGTTCATTAGTTTGTTCTGGTGATAAGTTGGATACGTATTTATAGTGTCTTTCCATATCTTCCATTCTTTGTTTTAACTGTTGAATTCCTTTTCGTATTTTCAGATCGTTCATGTCCGCTTCTTGTTGTAGTACTTTATCTAGTTGTGATAGTTTCGCTTTGAAGAATGTTCCCATTTTTGTTGGTGATTTATTACTATTTTCTCCTGGTTTATTTTCAAAGTTCAACTTAGGAGTTTCTTTTTTCTTTCCTTTATTCTTTTTCGTTTCTGGTGGTATTATACTGTTTATAAAGTTTTCAGCTTCTTGTTGAGCTTCCCTTATAAGAGTTTGATTTAGTTTTTGTTGCTCTTTACTTTGAGGTTGTTCATGCTGCGCTGCAGCTGTCATTTGTTGCATTCTTCTTGCCAGATCCATTACATCTGGATCTTCGAATTCCATTCCCAATGGAACTGTTATTCCTCCTGTTCCTGAATCATATCCTGATGATTCTTTCAGGTCTTGGTCTTTTTCTTTTGACCATTCTTCTTGAAGTGTCTC